CCGAGTCGAGTCCGAGTCATCATTACCTGTGTTCGAGTCCAAGTCCGAGTCACCCAAGGAGTGTCCAAGTCGAGTCCGAGTCATCATTACCTGTGTTCGAGTCCGAGTCCAAGTCCGAGTCACCCAAGGACTGTCCGAGCCGAGTCCGAGTCCGAGTCATCATTACCTGTGTTCGAGTCCGAGTCAAGTCCGAGTCACAAGTCTTCATGTATTAACCTTCGTGGATATATGTGTTGAAATGTAGCTGCCCCTCTACATTGCTTTTATCCTGTCATGTTATACTAATCTGTCTATTGAACTACTGTGAAGCGAGTTTGGCTACAATTCTTGTAATAGGTGCTATACAAATATAAAGCTTATTACTAATATGAATATTATTATTGTAAATGACCTTTAATATGTCCAACTATATTTAAAATGAGTTAACTTTGAGAGAAGTGATTATATTTGTATGCCAATATTTTCCTATGGTAAAGTTTTCGTTTTGCACTTTTATTTTGATAGTAATAAGATCGGGACTCTTATTTAGAAGGAACTTTTACCGGTTAAATCGGTTTACTGATAAAGATTTAGCCCCAGAAAGCACATGGCTACTTAGCATGCAAAATGGTCATTCTGCCTGTTAAGTAGCCATGTGCTTTCGTGTTATCGGCTGAATCTTTATTTATTGATTAGATCACGTTACTCTGATGATAGTATTCAACACAGCCTATATGTCTGAACTCGATCCTTAGAGTAATGTGTTACGGAGCCTTCTCTTCAATCTTGTTTCCACATAACATAACAAGCATTTTGCGCTGCTCTTTTCCAATGTGGAAGCAGAATGTGTGAAAGCATACAGCATGATGCGGGGTGTGTCCTAGATATGTTTAGACTGGAACAGCGGGGGCCAGTAGGTGAACTCGCCTCACAGGTGCACATGCCAGGATAGAGGACATCAGACTCCAGAGAAAACTTGCTCGAGTCCGAGTCCAAGTTGGAGCGTCAATGTACAAGTCGAGTCTGAGTCATCGTGGGGGGAAAAATTCACGAGTCCAAGTCGGAGCGTCAATGTACAAGTCGAGTCCGAGTCATCGTGGGGGGAAAGATTCACGAGTCCGAGTCCAAGTCATAGTGCGCGAGAATTCACGAGTCCATGTCCGAGTCACGTCAATCAGTGTGTGAGTCCGAGTCGAGTCACGAGTCCCAAAAATCGGCACTCGAGTACTCACTCTCTGAATGGGTCAGACTAGAATGACAAATATCGTTAGTCAGCCAAGAAATCGTTTAATCATAAACTTTTTTCATCTCATTTTCAGGGGGGTCCAAAGTCAGTGGTAGGGGGGCACTGGCCCCCCCTAGAACCGCCCCTGCACTAATGACAGACACAATAAATGAGCTGATTAGGAGGAGGTTGAGGAAGAAGGAACAGCTAAAAGAGAGAGACTAGCATACTCTCAGAAATGACCAGCCATTAAGATGGTTGTAGCATTCTGCTGCTGTTTAAAAGTGCTTTACATGACAGTCTATCAGGGTCAAGCCATAAATACCTTTCACTCTAACTGTCTGCTTGATGCTTTGGCATTACACTTTATTAGATTTGCTCTAACAATGGCTGCCTTGTTCAGATTCTGTTCCACAGCTGCATGTGTAAAAATGGTTCGTCTATCATAGATATCATCATCTCGGTCGGATAGTCATAGTTTCACCGAAGTAATTAAAGAGAGATGAATATTACAAAGTGTATAAAAAAGAGATGCTATGCCACAGGAAAAAATGGCGTCATATAACAAAAAACATTACAACCTTAATAAAGCATTAGATGTTATGATACAGTCTGAAAACAAAGGAAAATGTCAATGAGATGTATGTTTATATATTAAACACTCATTGTTACATTTTATATCATGGTGGCTGTAACCTAGTTTTATTTTCTAGCTTCATTGCTTGGAGCAATACCCTGACATTTATAAATGTGCTGGGTTTTTTTCTTCAGTCTAAAATAAATTACTATTTTCCCACTAGCAGGATTATTTCTAAGAGAACTGGAAGCCATGAAATATCCAGAAACAATTCGATAAGATATGCTCGAATAAGCAGATCAAGTAATATATTTGTTATCATCCAGTGAATCAGAAGAGTGCTTATATAAACCAGGAAATTGGGTTTTGTGACACTTACTCTGTTTTAGAATAAAATGAAATGTAATCAAATAAATGAAAAAATATATATATATATATATATAAACATGAAAAGTTAAAATGTCGATAAAGATCAAATCTAATTAAATATAAATTGTAGGCTACTGTATTGTTCTGCAATTATGTAACATGTAAAGTAGTAAATTAGTATTTGTAAAAATAATGCAACATTTGCACAGTTTAAGAAGGTTTGGCAACATTTTAATTCAAGAGAAAGCCAAACTCAGTCATTATCTAGAGTTAGTGGATCAAATGAAGTTGTTATATGTTTTACAATTGTTATTGCAGTGAGGATACTAATTATGGTACATTGGTACAATAAAGAAAGATCCAGGCTAAAACTGCAAGACTTTAATGGCTTTCAAAGAAACTGTACAATTCATTTTTTAGAAATGTCCATGTTTCAAAATCTATTTAATCTTATGTGCCACATTTCTACACTGATTAAGGTGGAATCAACTTGTGGGAAATAACAGATAAACTGATTGTGACAGACGAAAAACACACAGTCAACCAACAAATGTAGTCTCTGAGAATTATTTTGGACAATAGTTTTCACATGGGGGGCAGTATTGCTACCACACTGAATTTTGCATACTGCACTCACAGCTCATTTATCAAATCGGTGGTGCTCCCTGCTAAGTGAAAGCTATAATGTGTCTCATATAGCCGACTGTAAATATGGCATCATAAGCACCCTGTATGGGCCTGTTATGCATTATTCATGACTGTTCAGTCACAGAGAACTGCTTTAACAACATTAATATTCATCACATTTGTATTGTGCTATACAAATGTTTCAAAATGCATCTGACTACCGAACACCTCCACTGTGGTAGATTAGGTCTAACTGTCTCATTTAAAACCACTTTGACTGGGTAGAACATGCAGGACTGAGCTGTGCAATGTTACAAGGGGATTTCAAAAGATATCCTCTACGAGTAAGCATGTATAAGGAAGGGCAAAACTCTTTGCACGGCTCGGATTTTCACAGCATGACATCTGGATCAAACAGCATGTGGGGATTTATCTATACGCTTTTACCTGACACTGAACGTGTTCTTCTTTCTGTTTTTTTTAGTTAAAACTCATGAAATAGTATTACGAAACCTGCTTTTCTGGATGAAGAGGAGGTCTATAACTGCAACAACTCTGCAGAGGCAAAGCAGGTGCAGGCTGAAATGAAGCAGAAACAGCCCAGCAAAAGATACAAATGGTTCACTTAAACAGGCTTTGTTTTTCAGTGGAAGTTTCTAATTGATGCACATGCTAAGTAAGCCACCTGGATCCATTTCCCCTCAGAATTAAGCCTCTTTTAATTCTCCTCATCGCTCAACTTATTCCTTGGAAACCAGCTGAGTAAAGACATCTGCTTCTGCACATCTCAAACACTAAGCACTAAATGTATGCAAATAGGTCTCGGCCTATAATGTTTTATAACTGTCTGTCTTAGTAAAAAGTAGGTCTGCTATTGGAGATGTTGTTACATATGATTGCCTACACCTAAAATATTATTAATATCAACAGCTGGATTTCCTCTCTGAAATGAGGTTGGGGTCCAGTGACAGTTTTCCACTTTTTATATTTATAGTAATCCATAATGATTTTTTCTCTTCAGTTTCTTACATTAACAACCAATAGATTCAGAATCAGAAATCCTTTATAAATCGCACAGCTGGTACATTTACATAATGACAGGAAAGGGGACAGTGTAGTTAAAAAGTATAACATTTAAAATAAATGGACTTACATATTAAACAAAGAGGCAAGCACATGTTAATACAAAATAAAATAAATTCACTTCCCAGGTTGAATAAATAAGAAGCAGCATTTGTTGGTAGTTGTAAGTGAACATATAACATTTGTAAAGTAGCAGCCAGTATTATTCAAGAGGCTTTAATGTCATATGCACAGTAGCTACAGTGTAGTTAAGGCAATACAAATCTTAAGTCTCAAGCTCAACGTTGCAACATATAGCACATTCAAAAAATAAAATAAAAATAGTGCAAGAAGAAACAGACTAGAATAGATTAGGATACAATAGTGCAGATTATGTTGCAGACAATGCAGATGAAGTAAACTACATACATATCAGAACTATTTATAAATACAATAAACTACATGTTGCAGAGAATGTTGTCGTGACCAAGTCAATGCAGGAGTCTATTTACATGTACATAGATCACCATAATGTATTAACAATAGTAGTGTATAGTTAATAGTAAAATGTATATATTTTAAGTATTTTTGCAATAACATGTTAGTATATATTGCACATAAGAAGTGTGATTGCACAGCAGTTGCCGTGTGGTGGTCTACCTGGGGCAGTGCTAACTGTTTATTTTATTCTGGGTTGTAAAAATTATATATTATTGTGGCAGGCAGGTTTTTAAGAGAGTCTGGGTCATCATGTCTCCTTAAAATGTGTTTTCAACTTTTTGTTCAACTGGATGTTCTTGTAAGTCATTATTTATAAGAATACAATGGGCTTTAACTGGATTTAAATAGTGCAACATCGTTGTTCACAAGCCTCAACAACATGATTTTGAAAGTTCTATGTGCAAATGTAATGCAGTTACTCATGTAATCTGTTACTTCTGGCTGTTGCTGGCTGTCTGGTCAGGGTGGTGAAGTGTCCTCTGGAGGGGAGCCGCCGCTGTGGTCACATTATAAACTGCATCCCCTCTGTGACAACTGTAGATCAGCGAGCCTCAGCGAGCCTCGCTCTTATTTCAGGGATTTGTAGTTTTTAGTGTAAAGAACGCCGACGCACGGCAGAGGCCTTTGTGAGAGTAAAACTACACTTCCCTCAGAGCTACTCAGAGGTGTTAGTTGTCAATATGGCTGTTGTCAGACAGACAAAGCAGAGAGGCAAATAATTCGCCACTGATTAGAAATCCTTGGAAAGGGGTCGGACAGGGCACTGTTTTCATACCGCCTTACTGTTCGGCTGCAGTGAAAGACACAGCGGGTCTTTGCTCCAGTAACAAAGTTAAATGGTTAAGTGGACGATTTGAACCGAGGTAAGTCATGCACTAAGCTATTTCCAACACTAAAAGTGATGTTATTAATATCAGACGGTCGCTAGCCAGCAACGGCGGCTAACGTCAGCTAGTATCAGCATTGGCATGGCTAGCATGTTATGCTATCATTCTACAACCCCGGTGCTACCGAAAATAGCATAAGTTGCTAGCCGTCCTCTGTGATGCATACGGACTGTTCCCCGGTATAAATGCAGCAGCAGCTCCAGTGAAAATTATTTATGAGCTCGAGTGTTTCAAGCCGGCTCATTTAGCGTTTCATAGGACACTGTCACTCAGTCTGCCAAAGAAACATTTGCTAACGTTAGCTCGTGGGCAAAGGGCGTGAAGGCTGGCATCACAGCGGCTCCCCTGCAGCGCGGAGCGGCAGATCTGTGCTCCAGGGCCACAGTCAGCAAAACAAAAACACATGGACCAAAAGATACCAGCAACTTTGGTCAGTGTTTGGACAATCTAGAAAAATACACTGCCAAAGAAACGCGTTTGATTTACACAACAGACTGTACTGGGGATATCGAATGCATCATGCATGCAATCTGTATTTAGGTAAGAAAGCTTCCTCTTTTTTTTTTGCATAATGTAAAACTAAACATGATGTATCTACTGTCATTGGTAATTTTGAATACTTTTCTTTTTTGTGTTATAACTAGTTCTCTAACTTACTGTTATCAAGTGATTCCTTAGGGATGTGGGCAAAATAAAGTTTATCATCTGTCAGGACTGACCACCCACAATGGCTCCAGACTTATGATTTATATAGTAACATTGGATCAGTCATAGTCTTTGTTCTCTTCTTATGGTTTGCACACCTCCAGTTTGTGTTATGTGTGACCTACAGTAAACCAGTGTAGAGCATTGATGTAGAGTAGGCTGATCCTGTGTTCCTTGCAGGGTGTGTAGTTAAACCAGCTTTAAATTGAATAGATAACTTTGTAAATACTCAACCAGGATGGCTAATGATTCCAAATGCTCATATTTGCTTGCAACGACTAATAAGCCTCACAATAACACAGAATATCTGAAAGTACTGAAGAAGTAGTTAATGCCTTATTTTCATATTAACAATCCAAGTCAAATAAACCATCTCATAGTTTTATTTTTGAATTTGTGCAGCTCACCCCCTGGGATGTGACAAGGTTTTGCAATATAACTGAGCTTGATAATGATTTACAAGCTTCCATATGGATACCTAATGTAAACTAAAGAACTAGTTAATGTTCTGCAGTACCCTTTAACTACCCTCTGCTATAAGTAATGTATTTCAGGGCCCTCTGTCTCAATGTTTCTTAAATGTTGGCAATTGTTCTTTTCCTTTCAAATCTCGGTTTTACAGACCGCCCGAGGGTTTCATCTCATCACGGCTATATTAGTTCCCTTCATGGTGACTTAAAAAGACAGCAGACACTCTTAAGCATTTCGTTTTTTTTCTGTCCTTTGCACAGCTTAGACTAACACAGATGTAGAAAAATGCCAGTGACCCCTTTTATAGCGTTAATCATATCAGCATAGGTCGCGCTGGCACAGAAGATGGAAAATCTGCCGCAGTCTGAATCCAGTTGCATTGATTTTGAGCACAGCAAATTGCTTATGAAAAACATACAGCGTGGGTGGTGTGCAGCGCCGGGGATATATTGTAGCTCTTAAAGAATGGCAGTCAGAATGTTAAGATAGCATCAGCTGTCAAGGTGACTCTGGCACTCTGCGTGTGTTGCCGGCTGGTTCCCAAAAATAGCAGATTTTTATGCCCCTCCCTCCCTCCCCCCTTCTTTCACACTATCTCTTGCTCTTGTCTTCCTTTTCTTATTTCCTGTGTCTTTATGTTCTCGCAGTTTTTCCTCCTTTTCCACCCCTCTCTTTCTACCTTTCTCTGCCTCACTTCTTCCATATCATTCAAATGTTTCTCCTCATCTGAACTGTGTTTCTTTTCCTACTTAATCTTCCCATTGCCTCCTTTCATCCCTCTCATTTCTGCCTGCCTTCACTCCTTGTGCCTCTTTTTCTCCATCTCTCTTTGAACATCTTGAACACTCTTTCTTTAACTTCCCTTTGCATTTCCTGTTTCCTTTCCTCTCCTCCCTCCTCCTCTCCTCCTCTCCTCCTCTCTCCTCTCAACCTGTCTGTCTTGTGTCTCCTCCAGCAGCAGGATGTCTGAGTTCAGCGAGGAGCCGCGCTTCACCATTGAGCAGATAGATCTGCTGCAGCGGCTGCGTCGCTCCGGCATGAACAAGCAGGAGATCCTGCACGCGCTCGAAACTCTGGACCGGCTGGACCGGGAGCATGGCGAGAAGTTTGGCCGCCGCACCTCTTCCTCCTCCTCTTCCTCGTCCTGCTACGGAGTAGGTGGGGCCAACAACTGCACCAACAACTCTGCCTCCAACACTACTACATCACTCAACAATAACAACACTGCCTCTGCAACCACCACCTCTTCCGTGACATGCAACGGCAACACCAGCGGCGAGGGCGATCGCTCGGCCCCCACCGCGTCTTCCACCACCTCCAAAATCTCCACCGCCACGCAGACGCAGTTCGGCAGCGTAGGGGGGCACTCTCCGTCTCCTAGCAACAGTTACAACACCTCCCCGCCTCCGGGACCACCGCCGCCTTCTGCCATCTTGCCATCACCGGTTTCGCTGGTGGCTCATACGCAGAACGGTAGGGATAGCCTAGCCGCCACACCCAACGGGAAGCTGTCTCCTCCCAGATACCCAGTGAACAGCGCGGCCGCAGCACGAGCATTCGGGTTCGAAGCTACAGAAGAAGACCTGGACATTGACGACAAGGTGGAGGAGCTGATGAGGTGAGTAGAAACAGAGGTGAAGTGGGCACTAAAACTTTGTTTGAGGAAACTTTCTACTCATTGTCCAACTTAAGGTTGTAGAAATAGACAATACATAACAGTAAGTAGGTGATACAAGACTATTATCATCAGTAGTATTGTATTATAGTGACCCTTTATTTTAAACACATGTTCATGCACACAGCACACACAATGCAATTGGAAGTGGGAAGCAAGTGTACAGTGCAATGGGGTGGGGCAGGGGTAAAGAACTTTATTTTAAGAACAGCGAATGAATGAACACATTTACATAATATCAACACGTTTTACAAAGTCATCTTGTGGGTACAAAACACTAGAGGTGCTTCAAATGTAAAGCTATTATTCATTGCCTTTTAATTCATGCATTTCCAATGTAATCAACTTTTGTTAAATTGTCTACTTTTCTTTGGATTGGAGATTCCTCTTCAATGGCACAAATACCATTAACTATGAGGCAAGAAAGCACACTTAGTCAGGATGAATTAGATCGCACCAACTGGAGTTAGCTGAAACTCCATTGTGTGCAGCTGCCATACATGTTCAGAAAAACTGAGGTTTTAGGGTTCATTCCTGGCCTTGAAAACAGCAGTCGATAAAGCAATTTCACCGCAGTTGATTTAGTTCTGGAGCTTTTCATCCTATCACATGATATTTAAATGTACCCATTTGTCTTTTTTCCCCCCGAGTTTTATAAGAGTATATTTTCTGATTTCTTTTTTTTTCTGGCATAATATCTAATGTCAAAGTGTATTCTTGACATTGGAAATGGACCAGTATACTGGTGTGGAAAAGAAACCATCATTCATCTTATAGGGCAGCCTGGGTCGGCAACGGGCGGGCCGCGGTCCGGATCCGGACCTATAATCAATACATTAATAGGGGATTTCAGTTTTTACGGGATGATTCTACTTTAACCGCCGCCGACAGGGGGCGAAAGAGACGAGTTAGCGATACAAGGAGAGCAACACAGAAGAAGAGACGAGAGCGCGGCAGAGAGAAGCGGAGAGGAAAGTGAGTGAAGAGAATAATTAGCGATACAGGGAGAGAAGCGGAGAGGAGAGTGAACAGGCGTGTTAGCGGCAGACAGGGAGAGACAAATAATCACACATGGCGCTCTCCAAGAAGAGGAAAGTGGACAGGAGAAAGAGCTTTTAACCCTGAGTGGACTCATTCATGTTCATCCTGCCCACTGGGAGCACAGAACCAGTGTGTCTCATTTGTTCAGAGACCGTGGTGCTAATTAAAAGTGCCAAAACGCCACTATGAGACAAAACACAAAGTGTTTGACCAAACATTCCCTCTCAAGTCAGAACTGAGACCACAAAAAATAAGCAGTCTCAGAACCCAATATGATCAGTCAACCAGGATCAAAATTAAAACTAAATATCGTTCCAGGGCAGGCTAACCAATGAGCACCTGCATGTGTGTATGAGAATGGCCCTGACACCACTTCAGCCCAGATTTAAACTCCTGGCAGGACAAGCTCGAGCTCAATTCTCGCACTGAACAGAACAAAGTGAGTGAGGGACTGCAATATAAGAGGGAAAGAAAGAGAAACTTTAAAACTGTTCAATTGTTATGATGTGTAAAGACTGATATTGTTCTATAATCGTCTGAAACTGTTAAGTCATGATGTGAAACGGTTAACAAAGAAAAAGGGAAACTCAAGCTGCTGCTACACTTTATTTTATTTATCTAAAATTAAGCACTTTTAAGATGCACACATTTTCAAAAGCTATTTTATTTTTAAATGCAGCCCGAGAGGAACATTACACATATCCACAGTATTTTACTGTATATCTGTATAGTTCGATGTTAATTGACAATAAATATTGTTGTTTTTGAATGGTACTTTCTTTATTTGATTGGCAGCCAGTTGTTGATTACATGCAGACGTTGATAAAGCTACAGGCTACTTCAATGTATATCACACTAATTCATAAAGCAAGTTAGACATTTTGATGTTCCGGACCTTTGCATGGGGGGATTTTCTCTAACTGGACCTTGTTGAATTTTAGTTGAATACCCCTGTTATAGGGTATTGGAGCGGTGTCTAATGTTAATGTTAAAGTTGCGGGTCCAGTGAGGGCACAACTGCTGGTGGGATTTGAGACAACACTAGTGAAAAACCAACACTGTGCAAGTGTTCACAGTGCACGACATGGCAGTGCTCTAATAAGAGTATCAGAATAGAGACAGCACTAGGTTGGTACTTAGCTTGCCCTTTACACGTGCAGTGTGAACCACAACACCTTGACATGAAAGCTGTAAAATATAAACCAAAATGTTCTCTACGAATGGATCAGTTGTTTGCCGTTGACATGTATGTACATCCTGAGTCAAAATAACAAAGACAGTCATAAAGACGTTCTTGTTGAGATAATCCGTAATTATCCTATGGCATGAGAAGGGAGGTGTTCTGTGCTGAACCTTTTGAAAAGCCTTCAGGGTGACATTTCGTGAGAAGGAGAGAAGAGAAGCTTTTACAATGGTGCACCTCTAGATACATTACATGAAATCACATACAGTAACATAAAGAAACATAAAGATTGAAAACCCCTGCTCAGTAAGTTAGAGCCTCTTCTGTTGAAGAAAGCTTCACTCAAGTTCCAAATTGAAGAAGGTTACATTGTGCATGTAACCTAAAGGCTACAGTACAAAACAGTGGTTGTGATGAGCGTATTGTGTTCCCATCTAAGTGAAAAGGCTTGTTGTTGTTTTTATATAATAACACATCAAGTAATTTCCTTTGGGTGTTCAAGGCAGCGGTTCTCAAACTGTGGTCCGAGGGTACTGCCGGTTGTCCTTAAAAAAATAAATTTAAAAAAATCACTTTTCATTATCAAGGATTTTCGCGGAACACCTCATATATTCAAACTGTAAAAATAAGTACGTATATAAACGTAGTGTTAAAACGCAGATATTTGTTATTTTTTAATTATGGACAACACTTAATTTCACCACTGGTTACCCATGGTTACGTGTGTACGTGCAATACCAAATTAATCGTTGGCTAGCATCAGTTTCTCTGAAGAGAAAAGAGGTTTACGTTACCGTTAATGAATTTAATGAGAGTGAGTCGGAGGCATCTACAAGCCAGATTCCGCAGAAAAAAAACAAAGAAAGGGAAGATTAAGAGAAAATACAATGGGAACTACTTGGATCTGGGATTTACCTACACAGGCACTGAAGATGAGCCTTTGCCAGTATGCGTTCTGTGCTATGAGCCAGTGGCTAACGAGAGCCTAAAACCAGCTAATCTTCGCGGTCAATCTTGGAATCTGGCACTACGTTTATATATGTACTTATTTTTACGGTTTGCATATGAGGTGGTCCGAAAATCCTTGATAATAAATAGTGGTCCGCATAAACAAAACGTTTGAGAACCCCTGATCTAAGGGTTTCCCCTGGAAGGGTTCTCATTGAGGTTTATGGAGTGATGAAATAATGACATATTTTTGTAGGCCAACCCGGAAGTTAGAATGGCAAGGGCTTCCCCGTCAAAAAGCATTGGTATTTTTTCCACTGGATTTGAAAATATAGCAGAGAAAAAGATGGAAAACAGGCTTTTAGGATAATTGTACAGTTTGGATCATCTCAATATATGAACGCGTTATTATCGCTTTAACGCATTCATTAACGCAGACAATTATTTTATCGCGCATTAACAGTTTTTTGTATTAATCAAATGAACCGAAACAGAAAAAAGTGGCGGGGACAGAAACATGGAGAATGGTACCAAACTCGTACATGGACATTTGACATCTCTTCCAGACCACAGAGTTATTTGTAACCACTACAAAGTAGAACTTTCTTATTACTTCTATAACAAACTAGATCAAACGTTAATGCCCTGGCAAATGGCTTTGGTTTTATATTTGATTTGATTCCATTAATTCATCTTTAATTTGAGATTTACAAGAACTATTTGAACTGCCCCTGTGTAAATGGAATACTGCTGTTAAACAACTATAACGTGTTTCTCTACATCCATTACTGTGGCAGGTCAGTATTTATACTCTATCCCTTTCCACGTGTTAGCCACCTCCTCTTCGTCTGAACACTTTCCACAGGAGCCCCCCCCTCTCCTCCTGCTGCCTCCCAGCTGCCCTGAGTGAACAGTATAGGCATGTCGAGCTCCGGCCGTCCCATTGCTAATTCCCTCTGCCTCTGCATCAGATCACATGTCCTGTTTCGACAACAAGAAGTTAAGTAGCTTCCTCTCGGTGTGTAGGCCTCGCTCCGCAGGGCTGCCAGGGCATGACAGGCGCTCTCGGCTTGTCAACAATCCCACGGTGCCCTTCGGATTTCTTTCCTCTCATCTAAGTGCACATTTCTGTCTCCGCAGGGGTTCGGCCTTTGAGTCGGCATCCAACAACACATCTCCCTCCTCCATCCCTCCCTCCCTCCTGCACTTCCCACTCCTCCTCAGTCTTGTACAGCAGCTCGTGCTACATCGATTCACTTTTGTCGATACAAGCAGTGTTTTCTAAGCTCTAATTTTAGCCGCGCCGCAAGAGGCTGCCGTGGAGGATATTGACGCTGGATGTCAAGAGTCCTGACGCATTTCTCCTTTCAGAAATATGCTAGCGGAGCACTCGTGACTTTGATGCCCTTCTCCATTATGACTTCTCTGTGGGTTCAAAGGATGCTGTGATTGTACGGTTCAAGCACCAGTGATATTTAAGTTAGTGGGGGTGGGTGTTTGGTAAAAAGTATGCACTATATAAGTGTGGATAAATATGCACCGACTAGTGTACACATTTGACTGGTGTTCAAAATCTGTACCACGATTAAGCCAAGACAGTCATAAGCTGCTGGGTGTGTATGTAAGTCGACGTTGTTGTGTGTGCACAGAGGAGGGGATTGGGCTGGAAGCCAGAAAGCAGGGTGGGTACACTGTGTGACTGCACATGTTCCCTCACCACCCTCCGCTCCTGCATGTCTGTGCATGTTTTATTTTCCCCCCGCTGAGGGCTGAGACATTGGAAAATGTATTTCACTCCATTTTGTCTTGCCTTTGTGTTCCTCTGAAATGCACCGTTGATTATGTGGGAGCCATAATAGAAGAGAACAATATGCGGATAATCAAAATGCACCTTAGATTAAAAATGGTTTTGTCCTATTTTTAATATGGGATAATGCTGGCACAATACAAAAACATTTGATTTTTTGAAATGTAAACAGTTTTATTAAAAAACACTTCAATTTCATTGAAAGCATACAGGAGCCATTTGGGCTAAAGTATCCTGCTCAAGGACACGTCGACATGTACAGGGACTGGGGATCAAACCACCCTCCCTACGATATGTAGATGACCATATAACCCCTGAAAGCATGAAAATCTATTTCAATACGGAAAAACCTATCTATTTAATATCAGTCTTTCAATCTGGTTTTAACCTTACCTTACTAAATGTCTTTGAATAAAATGTGGGGGTCTTTTAAATGCTGTGTGATCTTTTCCTATGTCAAATACCATTAAGCTGCTGACTCTCTCTGTGTGTGTGTGTGTGTGTGTGTGTGTGTGTGTGTGTGTGTGTGTGTGTGTGTGTGTGTGTGTGTGTGTGTGTGTGTGTGTGTGTTGACACACACACACACACACACACACACACACACACACACACACACACACACACACACACACACACACACACACACACACACACACACAGAGAGAGTCAGCAGCNAGTGTGTGTGTAGTGTGTGTAGTGTGTGTGTGTGTGTGTAGTGTGTGTTGTGTAGTAGAGTGTGTAGTGTGTGTGTGTGTGTGTGTGTGTGTGTGTGTGTGTGTGTGTGTGTGTGTGTGTGTGTGTGTGTGTGTGTGTGTGTGTGTGTGTGTGTGTGTGTGTGTGTGTGTGTCATACTTGCCAACCCTCCCGATTTTCGCGGGAGACACCCGCATTTCTCCCAATTTCTGACAAAATCAGATTTACTCACGACTGTTTCCACTCGGACTTTAATACAGGTACACCATTGTTTGGTTTCCATGGTAGCGCGTCTCTTTAGCAGCGCGCGCAACTCAAAGTCTGAGAGGGTGAGGAAGATGAAAACTGAACAAGAATCGACAACTCGACCACACATATGCTCCATGGTGCCACAGGCCTTGCCCTTACAACTACAATAAGCATGCAAATGTTAATCTACAGCTCCGGCGATCCACTAGCACCGGAGTCTACAACTGCAGACGCAGCCATCCCCTACTGTAGCGTCACCTTGGATACGAGTCTAAACAGACACACAGGCCAGGGCGCTGAAAGGGCGCCCTTTGAGCATCAGATCTGACGAGCGCCCCCTCTTTCGTTTATTTTTTTTTTTTTTGTGTTTTTATTTTGTGTTTTTTTGTGTTTGTGGT